CATAATTTTAAAATTTATAAAAATATTACTTTATATATATTATATTTATAAAATTAAAATGGAAGTGAATTCTTCTAAAACTATTCTGTAACTGATCAATTGCTAAATTAAAATCTTATTGCAAAATTTTTACTATACAATTAGAAGATTTTACAAAACTCTTTTACGTTTTTCTCTATTGCAAAATTAAATGATAAAATATTTAATATAAAGATGGTGAAATTGTTTTGAAGATTTATACAAGAAAATAGAAAAAATCAGTTTAATAGTATTAGTAGATAATTAATATATAAAGATGAGTTGAGAAATGTTTCTCACCAAATTAATTAATTTTACTGAACTAATTAATTAATTTACTAAATTAATTAAATAGGATACTCCCAAAGTTAAATATTTTGATTTTAGTTACAGATTATTTAAATTTTTATATACAATATGAAATCTTTGCTGGTAGTTTGTGTTCTCTGCGTTTTGCTAAATACAGTTTACATGTCAAGAACGGTCACTGAAAAGTGTAAATCTGGCGGTAAAAGTGAAAGTAAGAACTTAATAATAATAATAAACTAGCTGTAAGTGGAATTCTGTCTTAAGGCAATTAAGGCATCGTGCCTTAAGGCAAAATGCTGGAACTTCCCGTACCAAAAATTATTATTTTTTTAAAAACGATTAACATTTTTGAAAAAAAATTACTTCGAAAAAATAAGATTTTTGACAAACAATTAGACAAAAAATTTCCTTTTTTTTGGAAAAAAAATTTTTTTTTTAATTTTTTTTTTTTGAAAAAAATGTTTTCTTTATTTTGACATATTTTGAAAGATCAAAACTTTTTTTCAAAGCGATCGTACTGCTTTAACTGCATAAAGACGAAATATCAAACCGCGTAAGCGCCGCGTCGACGTCTAACGCGTAATCATTGGTACGGAACCCATAGGAATGTAAACCAGAATTATACTTATTGTTAAAATCTCTATAAAATATTTGATAATTTGATGTGCATATGTCTAATGATCATTTTTGACCGCCAAATGGCATTTTTTTTTTACTTTTTTCATTAGATCTCCGAAACCGCTAGACCTGCCTTTATGAAAATTTGACCGGTTCTTCACCTTGTCAATACAAGTAAAATGTTTTTTGAATTATTAAAATCGGACGATCCGTTCTCTTAAAAACTGAGTTACCGTTTTCGGCACTTTTTGCCCCGTATCTTTGGAACGGCTAGACCTGCCTTCGCCAAAAACTAATCAGCACGTCTCCTTATCAATACGGATCGAATGTTTTTTGAATTATTCAAATCGGTTGACCCGTGTTCCCGAAATCGTCGACGAAAATTTGTATCCGCACATACATACACACACATACATACACACACACACACATACATCCATTTTTTCTAAGGTATGCCAAAATGTTCAGAAACCTCTGAAACGTAAAGATAATATAAAAATTTTCATTTTCGATTTTTTTGCGATTACTATAACTTGCCCTACGGGAAGTTAAAATCACATTTTCCTATATTTACGTTCGAATACAATTTTTTTTTTGAAAATCCAAAGAGAGCAAAGCAGAGTTTGTCTAAATAAAATATAATAATAGGAAATATTAATTATCATTATATAGTCTTAGGTTTCATGCTATATATACAATATGGTAATTTCTACTGTTTTAATAACTTGTGCGTATGCATTGCAATCGTTTGCTTGAAGAAATTGTATGTAAATCTATTAGACTTACCATTCTAATTATTAATTAATTAAGTTAATATTAATTATCATAATTAATATTAGCAATTTTATTATTTGGTAATTTGAATATTATAAATGAAATGTTGAATAGGTCAAGCTAGAGTATCAATACCATCTGGACCACTTACTCTGGAAAATTTTTGTGATGGAGGAAAGAACAGTCGAGATTGCCTTCTATTTTGCATGGGGTCTTGTGGAGCAGGAAATGGTGTTTGTGGCACTGGTGATGACAAAAGACCAGATCCGAAACATTGTTATTGTTCGTCACCATATTCAGGATAAAATAGCAAAATATATATTAGATAATTATTAATATTTTTATCATTATTGCATCTTTCAATCAAAGACATACCTACTAAATATAATTTCTTAAAGCATCATAAGATGTATAATAGCTATAAGCTCATCCTTAGACTGATTAACATTTATCGATTTGTATAATATATTGTAGACTTGTTGTATAAAAAAAGAATTATACAAAAGAATTATACAAAATATTCAACAACTAAATACACAAATTTTACAAAAGTATTACTATTCATACAACACAAAAACTTAAATTTAACTAAGATAAAGTAAAAAATTTAATAACAAAAATTAATAAAATGTAATGAATAATAACAAAGAAATTATAATAATTTAAAACAAATCGCCTGCGTTTTTTACTATATAAAAGAATGAATACACTGAGTTTTGAATTTTATTTAAAGCAATCTTTGGTATCAGAATAAAGTAATCATTCCTAGTGAATTAAAATAATTATTATAGTTATGAATTTCTTAACAAAAACATATGTTTGATAATTAATTTCCTGAAGGAGAAGTTTATGTTTTCATCAAAAAAACCGATTCGCTAATTTTATGGTTTCTCGACGTTTCAAGCCATTCTGAATCGAATGAGACCGACATTTGGACCAAAAGTATGTGTGTGTGTGTGTGCGTGTGTGTAGACAGATTTTTTGCCGTAAATCAACATTTTCTCAAAAACGGCTGGATCGATTTCAAAAACTTAAGAGCCATTTGTGGGACGATCGGCCGAGACGTTTCTTTATAAATGGCAGAAAAGTGAAAATTTTTTCGTCCACGTTTTAGCCCGGAATTTTGAACCGATTATGAAAATTCAAAAACCGTTCGAAAAATATTGATTGGGAATCGTGCTGATTAGTTTTTGGTAAAGATCGGCCCGGCCGTTTTCTTGTAATAAAGTTTTTTTTAAAAAAATTCGACGATTTTTATTGTTATTTTTCTGACGGTAGATACCATAGTCTTCTAGATCATACTAAAATATTACAGTCCTACGAAAACTCGTTTAGCTTCAAAAATTCGTCAAAGTTTGCAAAAATTAGTGTTGTTTTTTGGTGTTTATCACAATTAGACCTTTGATCGACGTTTTCTCAAAAAACGCCTGAACCGATTTCAAAAATTTAAAAACCATTTGATGTACATATCTCAATGAGGACTATCGTTTGTCAGTTATGTGAGACGATCTGCAAAACCGTTTCTTTGTAATTTGAAAAAAAAGTTAGACTTTTCGTCACATTTAAGCTCAAACTACCGAACAAATCGATTTAAAAAATTCAAAAACTGTTCGAAAGATATTAGTTGGAAATAATACTGATTAGTTTTTTAATACTGACAAGTTTTAGGTGAAAATCTACCGAGCCGTTTTCTTGTAATCAACTGTTGAAAAAAAAATTTAAGCCGATTTTTACGGAACTTTTTTTGGCGATATATATCCTGGTCTTATAGAACTTACTGAAATATTACGGCCTTACGACAAGTAGTTTAATTTTAAAAAAATATCAAAGTTTGAGAAAATGAGTAGTTTTTTGTTATTTGTTAAAATTAAAATTAGACGATTTACTTGGTATAACGATAGAGTACTTGGTCTAATCAAATTATTGAATTTTTAAAATTTGCTTTTAGAAAATACTCCGATTAACGTGTTCGTTCGTTTTCAATTATGTGTAGTAAATCCTTTCGGAATACTTTTAATCACTCATAAATTAATTTATTTTTTATTGATTAAGTCAATTATTTACACATATCGGGAAGTTCATGTAACTTGCCTCAAGGCTAAATACCAATACCAACTAGTCGATATTCGATTTAAAATCTTTCGAGATATTAATATAAATTTGCTAAGATGAAATAAATAAATACACTATTGGTGTACAGCATCGTGCCTTAAGGCAAATTTCTTGAGAAATATTAAATGCTTCTAATAGATTATCATAATTACGTAACTTTCATTATTCTTCTCTTATAGACCAAATATATAAGAGCTTACAAATTTATACATGTTTTTATGAAATCTGAATAAACAAAACAATAAATCAAGTCCTTTCCGAAAAAACAAAGTTTTCCACATTGTCATAACTAGCAAAATAAATTTTTTGAATCATTCGAATCGGATGCTCCGTTTACTATTTCATTAATGTATTTAATTAATTATTTTATTAATGTATTACTTTGAGTTTAACTATTACTAGTATTATTTCTAGAATTAAATTTAATTTAAAGAAATTTCGAATAAATTTTTATTTAAATATGTAATTTTACCAATACTGTAAAATATAAAGTTCATTTTAATAAATTATTTTCAATCTAATCTTAATTCATATAATTCACATCTACATATTTTATTACAAAAATTTTTAATTGAGTTCGATTGATGAGTTTTAACTTTGGATACAAAAGTTTCAGATGATCCTTATATAAAAATAATATACATTATATTCAAGAAATATTAAAATAAAATGTTATGTTTTATCTCGAAAGATCCAAAATAAAAAATAAAATATTAGTTAATTTGTTAATGAATATTTTTTATTTTTTGTAAGAAAAATGATTCTGTTTACTTAAAAATTATCGTCAAATAAAAAATATTGCATTTTTTTCGTAAGTTATTGATTTCATAATTTTATTTTTATGTAAATCTAGTATAGAGATATGCTGGGTGCATGAAAATTTTATAATATTATAAATAGAATTTATTTTCTTGAAATATTATATATCTCTTAATCGTATAAAATAAGTTTGATTTTTTTTATTATTATAATGTATTATTATGAATTATTTATTTTCTTTAACTTGGTAAAAATCGCAACTTTATAAATTAATGAATAAATTAAAATTTTAAATTTTTCCATAATTTTGTTTAATTAATGTTGCACGTTTTTATGGTTTTTTTGGTACCGATTAGCTAAAATTTTAATTATACTGAAACTGAGGGTCATTTTAGGAATTAGACTGAATTTTGTTAAACATTTTCTTCATGCACTAAAATAATTAGGAAAAAATAATATTGAATACTTATTTGTTGTTAAACTAAATCCATTAAATTTTTCGAAGTATCCCATTGCAACCAGCTTTGCTCTATACACTTTATTGTTTATATAAATAACAAAAAAATGATGAACCTAATTATTAAAAAAGATATTACATATAATTCATTTTTTGTTAATTATATAAATACGTAATTAGTAATAATATTATTACTATTTGATAAAAATGAAGTGGATTTTAATATGCTGCATAGTGATCGTAGTTCTACAAATAGTTTTAGGAGAAAGTTGTATTTTCTGTGCGATCAGGCGTTTTACACATCAAACCTAACCTACAAAACAAACAAACGTCAAATAAAGGTTTTATCATAAGTGCAACTTTCTGATGATGTCTTAGTAGTTACTTAAGAAAAATGCCTAGGTTACATTGGAAGAATGCTTTTGAAATTTGTATTAAAATATTGTTCTTCATATAATTTTTATAAAATATAAATTTGTATTTATTAGAAAATGATGATGTAGTAGTGCCAAAAATTTGCAAAGATGACAAGGATGATAAAAATTGTGCCAGACATTGCAGAATAAATTGTGGAGGAAAAAGTGGTAAATGTGAACAAGGAACAAGAGGACCAGATTGTGTTTGTCCAAAACCACAAATAACCCAAAAGAGAAATTAATAAAAAAAAGATAAAGTAAACATTTACAAATTGCAAATTATCAGAATCAAATTGAATCAAAATTTCACAGCAAAAAAGCCAAAAGAAAAAAAAGTTGATTAAAGGAAACAGCTTAAGCTGAGTGTCTATTTTTATAAAATAAATTTTAATTATAATTTTTGTTATTTGTGAAATGTGTTTAAAGGCTTTAATGTTATTTGATAAAAAATTCGGAGATAATTATATAATGATTGTATATACAATGTCTGAAATATATTTTTATACATTAATATAAATAAATAAATATTTTCAATAAATAATATCTTACAAAATACACGTGGTTTACTCCTAAATAAATTGCACAATATTTTTGTTTTCCCTAAATTATAAAAATATTTATTACCAAAAATTTTGTTTACGTGTTTACGTATTTATTTATATGAAACCCATTTATTTAATAAATAAACAGTTTAGGTTCATATCTTATTAAGAACTTTCCTAAAAAAATATCTGAAAATGAAATTTATTTTATTCATATCAGTTGCTGTAATTTTATGCAATTTGGTCGATGCAAATTATCCTTCTGAATGCACAAGTGGATGTATGTAAATATATTAAATTTTAATAATTAAAATCGGATATATGAGACTAGTAATTAATAATTAAAATTATTTTACCCAATGAAATAATATATACCAAATGTTGTTATTTTATAAAATTTATGCTACAATATAAGTAAAATAACTTTATTTCTTTTAAAGCAGTTAGCCCAAAAAATATTTACCAATATATTATATAACATAACCTTGAAGTCATATAAATATTTGAAATATTTTGGGTATAAAAATTTAGAAATGTGTCTATCAAATTATTTATTTTAAACATTTTTTTATTATTATTATAGTAAAAACATGGGATCTTGATGGAGGAACATTGATGATTGATAATTTTTGCAATTTGGGAGATAATGGTAAAAAATGTGTAGAACATTGCCAAAATAAATGCAAAGTTAGATATGGAGTATGTTATTATAATAATGCAATAGGCAAGGATTCATGTCATTGCTCTAAATAAAAAAAATAAAATTATTTATATTTGTAAATTAATTTCTAATATAGTACAACAATATAAGAAAATTTTAATATATTTCATGAAATTGTAACTTGCGATATATGTAATAATTTATAATAGAACAATTACATAACAAAAATGAGTTTTATATTAATTAATATCTGAATAATTATTTGAAGTTACTTTTTTAAACAAAATTTATTTCCAAGCATTTTTTTTATTAAATTTTAAATTGTCTGATTTTTAGAGAGTCAATTTATTTTATTAATAAATAAATATATAAAAAAATACCCAAACGCATAAGTCTAAAGATAATTGTAAATTTATGTCAGGTCATATTTTTATCAAAAATTGTAATTGTAATTGTAAGCATTTATTGAATTTATAGTTAATTTTATTACTACTACTAAGTTGCATTTGTTGACATAATTGAGTAAATATTAATATTACATTTAAATCAATATTTATTTAATTAAATTAATGTAAACAATCAGTATGTAGTTTGTTAAAAACTTTTCAAATTATCAAAAAATGAATCAAATTTTAAATTATCAAATACAAATACTTATGAATATTGTTTTAAATATAAAAAAATAAAATCTATCAGTATAATTTATATAGTCTTATTGTTAATAAATCTATCAGTATATTTATAAAAATAGCTAATTAAAATTAATCAAACTAGATAAAACTTTATTTCAAAAAATAGTAATGAATATGTTTTTATGATTATTCTAAAATGCTTACATTAGTTTATATATTTTTATTTGAATTTTTATTGGAGTACAAATAGCTTTGAAATATGTAAAACCAACAAAAATATTAATGAATATCTAAATTATATTTTTTTTCGACAAATAGTCAATTTTAAAATCTATGAATGAAATAAAATGATGAACTTAGTTATAATATTATCCAGAATATTTATATCCAACCAAATTCGTGTTAGTTAATAGTATATTTTGTTTAATGTAATAACTTTAAAAAAATCCAAAACTTATTCACAATTCACAAAAATTTGCTAAAATATATTTACTCTAAATAAAAATTATGCAACTCCAAAATGCAATGTAAATAAATATTTTTGTAATTTTTCTGGGGCTTACGAAATTTGTTATTGTTTTCACTTAATATATATTTGGTCGATAATTAGATTAAAAGTTTATTAATTTTTGAATTTACATTAAATTTGTAATAAATAAAAAATAAAATGAAATTTTATATTTTGTGTATTTTTGCAACAATTTTGTTTGGAGCAGTTTTTGGTGATAAACAAAGTTGTAAAAGGGCTTCTGGTGTTACTGAGACAAGTAAAATTATACAATTAATCATAATTATTATTAGTTTTATATGAACAAAATACTTATAAAATTTTATTATATATAATAAAAATTTAATGTTAGATATTTAGAGTTATTCTGAATCGTTTGACACAAGAAATCGCAAAAAAGTTCTTTGAAGTACTATAAATAACTTCTGTGAGAGAATATTTTTCTAGCACATTTTTTGTTGAAGAAATTCTCACCAAATTTAATAATTTTAAAAGCAGTTATAAATATATTAGTTGTATAATGTTTTTGATTAACTCTTAGCAAGATTTGCCTAAAATTTATTATTTATATTCGTAGTTCAAATAAATGTTGATCAACTGGAATATTTCCAGATTTCTAGGAGTTTTTGTAACTTTGTTTCAAGGTAAAATCTAACTTACACCTATTTTTTTTTTAGGTCAGGGCAACCTACAAGTTCCAGATATTTGTAAAAATAATGGAGATTCTAAATGTGATCATTATTGCAAAAATGAATGTAGTGCCAAGAAAGGATTTTGCAGTGGACAAGCTACAGCAAAAGAAAATATGTGCTTCTGTACATATTAAAAAATAAGAATAAAAATAAAATATAGAGATAAAAATTAATACAAATGCAATAGAAATATATTTAAATCTGTTATTTGTTGTAACCATACAATTTGTTCATGTATAAATGAAATAAAATATAACTATACTTGTAACACTGTGAAAAAATTATCTGTGTTTCATATTTTACAAAATGTATTTTATGTGAATTTTTGTATGAAAAATTATAATGAATTTTTAATAATTTTTATTAATTTTATTAAATTCAATTCGAAAAATTTAAAAGTCTTCAGAAACTATTGACAACAAAAATATATGGGATAAAATGGATTTTCGAAGAGAAGGAAAGGCCCTTAGTTCAGAAATTAAATATTTCCTTAATTATTTTTATTATTTAGTAATTATTTTAGAAATGCTGAATGAACACACAAATGTAGTTTCAAAACGTACAAAATATAAATATAATTTTTTTATAACTTTTTGCATTTTATTTAAGTTTATATATATAGATTGTTCTATGAATATTATTATTATACATTATATAAATATAAATAAATGTGTATCTGTCTTTGTCTATAATGTAGAATTGCAGAAAAATTAAAATGTACTACAATAAATAACAAAAATTGCATAGTTAAATAATAAATATGACGAATAAAAAATAGAATAATATATGTTTAGTGGTTTACGATATAATATTTAAAATTCTATTTAAAATTTATACATTTCGCCAAATTAGAGATTCGGTCCAATTGCGTAATTTTATCAAATATATATTTTGCAATTTGTTTTGTTCTCAAAAACACAAAATTTTACAAAATAGGCAAATTGAATTGCAAAATTAGAATTTGGGATAAATTCCACAACAAACTTATAAATACTTTGAATAAGTATTATTTTTTAATGTATATTATTATTGTTCAATAACAAAAAGTATTATTTATATAATTTAAACTAAATACTTTGATTGATTATTATTTTTGCTTTTAAATAAATTAGTTTCACGGATTTATTATACAAAAGTTGGTAAAAAATATGAATTATTGTATTTTCGTGTTTTCTGTACTTTTAGCTTTGGAAATTAGTGCAGAAGATGTTTGGAAAGTTAATAAAAAATGTACTTCAGGTGGACAAATTAAAGGTAAATATATTAATTATAATAAAATATGAAAGTAATAACGAACTTTTAAATTGTATATAAAAACACGTATAAATTGTATAAATACTATATTTATTTATTATTTAGTAGATTTGTTTCAGGCTTTACTATATTTATTTAATTAATAACTATTAGTGATACTATATTTTATAACATATTTTATTCATTATAATATATCTTTTATATTTAGAAAATGAACGAAATCAGGTAATTTCGAAAGGCCAACAAGTCCACATAGAAAATATTTGCAAATTTGTTAGAAATCAAAAACATACGGAAAAAGAAAAAAACAAATGTATGAGATTTTGCAAAAATGTTTGCAAAGGTTATAGAGGAGCTTGTGATGGCGATATTTGCTATTGTAGTAGGCCCAGTAATTTAGGTAAATATAAAAAAAAAATTAATATTGGTATTTGAGAAATGTATATTATTTGAATTGAAAAATGACCATAAAAGTACATTACGGAAAAAATACTTTAATTAATAATATTTATGTATTTAATTCTATTTATTTAAAAATTGCTCACTTCGTATTTTTTTATATTCAGAGTATAGAATAGAGAAAGTATATTTTATTATTCTTTATGTCTGCGGACAAAATACTTGAACTATTTATATTTATGCAATTAAAACATTCTCATTCATTTACAAATTGTTAAAATTTTTCAACACCATTTTTCTACTTCGCAATTTGTTCATATTTACAATTTTTTTATTTGTTATATTGTATGCTGAATTTCCTAATTTCAATATCTATAAAAAACTATGTCTGTATTTTGAAAATTTTTAATAGAATATTTTTTGAGTGTTCCACATAAAACCGGTAAGCCAATTTTGCCAACAACCTGGATCTAGCCCTCGTTTTAGGATAGTGGCAAATTAGGCGTACCGGTTTTATGTGAGACACTTGTTAATAATTGACATATTGTTAAAATTTTATTTATAATTCAATATTGTTATTTGTAATTAAGTTAGTTATGAATAAATGCATATGTTAATGTATTAATTTAATAATAATTTACGTTATTACAGGTCCTGATTGGAAAGTTAGCAAACAATGCAAAGACCCCAATGAACAAGGTACGACAATAAAATTTAACAAAATTGTGCCTTATTTCAAATTTTTTACTAATTTTATTTTCTATGTTTTAGATTCTAGTCGTACAGAAATAGTGCCATATAGGAAACAATTAGCAATTCCAAATATTTGCAAATTAAAAAATTCAGATGCCAATGAAGATTCTAAATGCAAAAAACATTGCAAACAAAAATGTCGTGGTGGAGATGATGCTGGGTGTGATGGAGATTTTTGTTATTGTCGACCACCAAAAAAATAAATAAAAATAATAATAAATAAATTATAATTGTTATTAGTTTCCTCATTATAATTTTATTCGTATTGAGAGATTGGTATACAATTTATGAGCAATATAACAAATTTAGCACACAATATGCAAGAACTAGTTGTGAAGTTTCAAATGCTATTTTAAAGCATACCGAGTTGCTCTAGGATTTTATGATATTAAGAAATAACATAGGTGTAATTTAATTGGGTACAAAATTATCAAATATTTCTTTTATATTCAAAGAAGAGTTTAGAAGCTACATTAGATTTACTATATAAATGCAAAATTGAATGTACCTCAATTAGCAACAGATTTTATTCCCAAATATTGTCATTGTTTATTAATCTTATGAGTATAAGAGGCTATCCAGGAGACTAATATAATAAATATTAGAACAAGATGTAGTTCATTTAATTTTAAAAAAGTTTGCTAAATGTTTCATACATAATAACCGAATATTTTCAAATATATAAATATTTTAGTAAATAAATGAGCATCTGTACGCTTGATATACTTTTATACTTTCAAATGCCATTTTAAAGTATACAAAATTGGTCTAAGATATTATGTTATCAGAATAAAATATAGATAATTTTGCTCTGAATAAAACTGTCGTATATTCCAATCATGTTCAACAAAGAAGTTAATTTTCTCTTTGATAATGATAAAATACTAAATCAACTTTGCATTCGTTATATATCGTTATAATTAAAATAAATATTTATATAAAATTTCATAATTCTATATATATTTCTTCATTTTAGATTGTGTTGCAATTAATTTATTTTTCATAATTTTCATTTGGATATTTAATTGCAACAAATTGGAAAAATAAGCACGTGGATTTTGTGATATAATATTAAGAATTAAAAAGATGTTTTATAATGTTATCAATTGTACTTAATGATAATGATTAGAAGAAGAAAGTGTCTAAAATTTTAATTAAAATTATTAAAAAATATAATACGTTGGTTTTAAATGTTAAATGAAATCGAATAATATTTATAATAAATTAATTATAAGATTTTGTTTTAATATAATAAAATATAGTTATTAAATAATTTAGAGATCAATTATTTCATATATGTTATTTGGAAAAAGGTTTTAATTTTTAATTAAAAAAGGGGAAAAATATTGCGAGAGTGAAAATTGAATGTTGAATTCAATATTAGGTTTTGGTTTATTTTTTAACTCAAATATTTTATGTTTCAAGAATATATGAAAAAAACATATATAAAATAAATAAAATTTGATAAAAAATTATGACTCACCCTCAAAATTTCATTTCCAGCTGCAGAAATTCTGAAAATAAATAAAAAAGGTATGAATATTTTATAATAAATTATATAATATATATATATACGTGTATATATATATATATATAATTTTAAATATAATTACCGCTAATTAATAATTAGTGTTATGTCATGTTTATCAATAATAATAAATCAAAAATATAAAAATTTATGCTGTGTGTGTTTAAAAATAATCGAAAATTTTTGGAAAGTTAACATCATAATAACAAATATCCACAATTCAATCTTTAAATAAATTTATTGTTTAATGTCGTATCTATAGATTTATTTTTAGATTTATTCAAATGAGTTTAATTTGTATTAAATATGTTTGGTTTCATTCAAAAATAGATAAACCATAATAATATATTTTATATTAAAAATACGAAATATTAATGTATATTTTAGTTATTATCAATGTTTTTTTATCTAAAAATATCAAGTTAACAGCATAACTTTTCATATATAATAAATATATAGATTAATATAAATAAATAAATAATTTTAGTAAAATATGAGCACATCACATTTCGAATTAAATATATTTGTTATAGTAATAAATATCATATTTAACATATGTTCAACATATGCACAACATAACATATGCTAAAATATAATGAATATATCATTTCTTATTAAAAATAATTTTTGATTGGTTGTCAAATTAAAAATTCAGATTTTCAAAGTATCATAATGATTTATAACTTATGTTTACGTTATTTAAAATAGAAAGTAAAACTTAAAAATACAGTGCTGTAGTCTTCGGAGTAAATTCAAAAAATCAAAAAATTCCTTGATAATATTTTTATTTTTTGTATGAAGTTCAACCCTTTAATATTAAATTCATTACGATAGATTGAATGGGATAATATATAATTATAAAATTACATAAATTAAAGCATCTGATAAAACAAACTTTTATTTGAATTGTAATATTATAAAGGTTGCAATAAATTATTTAAACGAACGAGAATCATATCATTTTTCTCAGTTGAATAAAATATTGAAATCAAACATTTTCTTGCAATATATTTCCTATGCAAATAATAAAAATATTGATGTTAGTTTTTTTATCAGATATTCATAATAAACATTATAATGTATATGAAAAATGATTTGAATTATTGTTTTATTGAATGAAATTTTGAAAATTATAGTTAAAAAAATAATGGAAAATATATTTAAAAATGAAGATAGTATTGATGTTGCTATTTTTAATCATAATGTATGTTGGTATTTATTCTGAAGAAACTCTAGTTTCTTCTTTATGCAAAAATGGTCAAGGAGGAAAAGAAGGTAAAACTTTAGTTCGAAACGGTTTCTTTATATTATTTAATTAATATTTCGAAAAACTATTTCCATTACTATATCAATTTATTTTTCCATGTGTTATCATTACAACAAATATGAAAAAAAATTTTAAATTTTTTAAGACCCAAAACAATTTTATTAAATTTTTGCTGTTTTGTTATATTCTTATAAATTTAAAAAAGAAAGTGTTAATATGCAGATAAACACTTTAACAATGCATTTATAGTAACATGGGCACCTGATGACAAAGATTATGTGAAAGTTCCCCTCTGCACACAGAGTTATGACACAAGTTCGAGAACTGCAAGTGAACAACAATGTAAACAACATTGTCAAGATAATTGTGGACCATTTACTGATGGAACTTGCCAAAATGCACCTCGAAAAGAAAGAGGATTTTGTGTTTGCGAAAAACCACAAACGACTGCCGAACAACAACAACAAAAGTCGTCACAAGCAACGGCGCCTTCAAGACCGCCAAGACGATGATATTATTAATAAAATTTGTATTAAAAAAGAAATACATTTACTAATTTAACCCTCTATAGGCCAGCCCAAATTTCAGATCGCATTTAAAATTTTTCGATATTTTACCAAATTATTATGACTTTTTGCATGCCATAATACATTTATCTTGATTCTATAATATTCCCATGACGACCATTGGTCGTCGACTAATATTTATGATCTTTACTAGAATTTTTAACCTGAAATAACATTTTCATACAAAAAGTGCAAGCATTAAGGGCACTGAAAGACATATTTCATTAATACCTCAAAAATTAGTTTAAAAAGAATTTTATTTTTCATTTGCATAATATTACTGTTTTTTTGTTTCCTCAAAATTATTGGATGTAAAACAAAAATTTGGCTCATGAATAGTTAAATTTTTATACAAGTGTACATTTATATTATTGTGTATTATAGATTCTTATTAAATAATCAAGATGAACGATATTTAATATATTATTGTAATATATTATTGTAATAAATTTCTGGCATCAGAAAATTAAGTAATATCTTGTTAGATTATAACTTAGGTTATGATAAAATAATAAAAATGATTGATATGATTATTAATTAATTACAATTATAATATTTCATAATCATCATAATTAATCACAATATTTAATATTTGAGGTTTTCATTTACATATTATTTCGAGAATAACAAAAAACACTGCTTCAGCAAAAAAACTTGTCTTTATTATATTGTAAGTACATATAGCTTAATTATTATTATATATACTGTTAAAATAATTAATAGATAGACTTTTTTGTTTTATTTTTCTGATGATCTTAAATTCTGTCGATAAATTCAATAACTACGGTCAACGTACAATTCACACCCATTCAACACAAAAGTCCGAAGTCATACACAGCAATTACATAACCTGTCATGTTAATACAAATAAATTGTAAACGATAAAATATTCTAAAATAAAATTTATATTAATTAAAACTATTCAAAACAATTGGTATTAAACGGAGAAATATTTACTGCAAACACAAATTTTAATTAATTAAAAGAAAATTTTTTTGTACAAACATGTGCTCATTTGACCTAGGTTAATATTTAGATAATTCTTTAAAAAAATGTAATAAAAATAATGTTAAAATTCCAAGTTGTTCTAAATCCTTTAGTGATGCAGAAGTCTTTACGGATATCTATAACTGTAAACTAATTTGAAAATAAATTCCAACCACCTTCAAAATTAAATCATTAAATCATACACACAATTTTTTAAAACTAATTCATGTTTATAATATTTATTTTGCTTGAAGTTTTCTCATAATTCAACACATTTACAAAAATAAAGCAATACTCACTTATTATCACATTTAGTTAAGAAGTACCCAAATACAATACACTTTAAAATTACTACTAACTGTATCCACTATCCTTCTCTCGTGAGTCTTTCTATTTCTTCGAGACGTCGAACAAGCAGCAAGTTGACCCGGTGCATTCGGCGCCGGGTTGACACGCCTTTGTTCTAGTCCCTACCGAAAGCAGAAACCAATGAACGAGTACTTGCAATCGTCCCTATAAGGTAAACTACGATAGACCATAGATAGTTGTAAAGATAGGAACCTCCGTTAGTAAACAAACTGTGTGAAGTTGTATCAAACTGTCAAAGTGGTAGATGTGAGTGCCCTCTGGGTGATGTATGCTGATAATAATGGTTCTTATCTATGATAACACTTTAGTAATTGATTGATGATAGGTGTTTTGTTAGTAAGTGAAAAGGGCGTGTAGATTATCGGTTAGTGTTTGATAAATGAATAATATGTAAATATCAAATCATAAAAATAATGTTAAAATTCCAAATATTGTTCTATACGCTCTAGTGTTGCAGAAGTGTTTATGATTATCTATAATTGTAAATTAATTAGAAAATATATTTCAACCGTCTTCAA